AAAAGCTTAAAATTTTTTCTTTGAGAATGCATATAATTGTGTATGTTGTCACAGAATATCCTGGGTATATGTCATGTAACATCTGTTTCTACAGAAATCTAGTTATTACTCAAGAGAATACAAACATTGTAAGCCCACCATGGCAATTTTTTTAAATTAAAAATCTTATTCTGGTTTCTTCTTTGCCTAAAATTGTGCCTTATTCTAATATTTAATTCTATGATGTTAATGACACCAGAAAAACAGTTTAATGTTGATAGAACAAATACAGCATTGTCTTTTTTGTCATTTTGGTCTTGTCATTTTAGTCTTCACCCAGTTTTTATGTATTTTCCTCACTATTTTCCCCCATCTGTCCACAGTTACCCTTATAGCATACGTGCTCACATCTCTCATGCTTTTCCTTTTACACCTTTGCCGAAAATCTCTGTGCTTAAATCCTTTCATTACTGCTAAGTTCCTGCTCAGGAATCCTCAGGTTTTGTTCATTTTATTCGGTCTCTCATGCTTTTCAGCCTGCTTTTTTCATTGCTGCTTCTGTAGCTGTATAGTGATCCTGGATCATTCACTCTTTTAGATTTATGCCAGAGGATGGAAGGAGGAGGTTATGCTTTCCTGCTCAGATTTGAATACTGGGCCTGCTTTGGCTATAGGCCCAGAAAGATTGGCATGGAAAAAAATTTGTAGGATTTTCTTATATGGACTAGGTAGCGGAATTGACGTGTTTAGGGTTTGTAGACACCATAACAGAAATAGAGTATTAGGCAAAAATGGAAGACTGTTCTTATTATTGGTAGTAGCACTTGCTGTCACCTTTTGGATTTAACAATGAGATCTGAGAATTTTTTCTTTTGGGATGAGAGACATGACAGTTGTTAATATTAATGCTTAGCTCATGGATATAGTATCACTACAGAATTTGCATTTCAAGTTGAGTCCTCAAAAATATCCTTAGTTTTTTTAATGTATTATTTCTGTATAACTTTGTTCTGTGATGTCACCTTCTCATTTATTGTAACTTGAAATATAATTCTCCTCTGAACTGTCACTTCCTTTGAAATTGCTTTCTCTTTCTGTTGATAAGTACATGTGCTAGGGAGTGCATATGGGAGTACTGTACTTCTCTAATGACTTTAGTGGGATTTCTAGTTGACCACTCAGATTTTATTGTGGCAGTCTTAGTGCTGAGAGAAAAAAGAACAAAGAACAACCCACAGGGGAGTTCAGGTTTCATTATTACTTTTCTTTTTTTCTCTTCTGAATTTATGAAATAATGTGAAAATTGTATTGCAGCCCGGCAGAGGCATGTTATCATGTCACAGAAGGAAGTTACATGCTGCAGAGCATGTAGCAGGAGGCTGTTTACAATCTGCAGGCTGTTCAAATACAATGTTGAAGGACCATGTAAAGTGGGAGGGGACAAACCTGGTGCACTTTGTCCATACTGCCTGCTGGGAAGGGTGCCTGGAGTGTGCTGCTAGCTCTGACTGTGGTTGGGTGTTAGGTGACAGAGTCCTAGTTGGCCCAGACGAATACAATGCCAGTAGGAATGCTAAAATTTAGCAGTGGGAACAGTTGGTGTTCCACAGATCACATTCGCTCCCCAGCCTTGTTTTGTTTGACAACCGGCAACTGGAGGAGGTAAAAAGAGAAATGGCTGGAGAGGAGCTCTGCTAATAATCTGTAATAAGTTGCATTTCAAGGAAGGGAAGCAATTATAAAATGGATTCAGAACAACTAGAAAGTGAGTGGAGTTTTTCATATGGAGGAAGTGGTGTTATGAAGTTTTTTTCTGAATGTAGAAAGGCAGAAGCAGCAGTCATCACCTTGTCTATACTGTCAATATTAACTTCTTCTTATGCAAAATATGTATTCATTTGAAATTCCCTACTAATCACAGATATGTGAGGTTATTTCTGCTCTTGGGCTGTATCTAGAGCTCAATCTGCCACTGTCTCGGCAGCTGACAGGCAGCCCAGCTGAAGGTCATTTTGTATTCTATGGTGGTTTCCCTCTTTGAAACACTGAAGATTTTATCTGTGTCCTCCAGCAATATTAGGGAAGTTGGGACTGACAGTGTAGCATAAAAAAAAAAACGAGTGGCAAATGAGCAAGATACTGTTTTAAAAATGCTGGCAAAAAGTTTTTATGTAACACTATGCAGCAGAAAGATAAAATAGCTGCTTACTTTACCCTCTGATTGTACCAAGATATTCGTTGAAAAATTAAGACATGCAGGCAATTTACCTCTTTGTTGTCTGTGTTCTGTAAAATATTTGCTTGGTTTAGGAGTATTTTAAAATAGATCAATGAGATTATTCGTGTACTGCATTTAATTAAAAGTAGAAGACATACGTGTATTAAAGAACAAGCTTGTCCAAATTTGTAAAACAAGACTGAGGACTTTTCCGTATATCTTAGAATTAGACTGGCAGAACCTAGTAAGACCTCCATGGGTGGGCATAGTCTGTAATTATGACCTTAAGGCCACTGCTCAGTCTGCTTTAGGGGAGAGTTTTCTACATACAATAAATGCAGTCTGAATTTCAGTGACATAAAGCTTGATTTCTTCAGTTGACTCAATTATGACACAGAACACTTTGCTCCTTAGTCTAGTTGCAGAATAATGTGAAAATAATTTCTTGACAATAAGATAATGAAAAAAATCAGCATTAATGAGAATACCTTGGTATGTTTTCATAAGGTTTCATAAGCCCAGATTAAGCAGTATGGAGAAGTTTAACAGCGTTTTAATGAGAATAAAAGAAATATTTCTGTATGTCATATTCTATAGGCATATAGGAAGCATGTCCACAATTCTATATCAGAAGAGAATACTGATTTACTGTATATCTTTTAATCACCTCTGTGTTGGGGTTCTTCTGTAGGTTATTGAACACGCTATTTTTTGTGTGTGTGTGTGTGTGTATTAAGTAGCATTGTAAGGAAAAGAATATGTTTTGTCATAGGTATTTCATAACATCTACGGAAGTATCATTTCCAAGGTGATGATCTTGCTCTGAGTCAGATTTTTTCAGACAAAAAAATTATCTGTTCATCTCATTCATGTTTCTGTAAGGGTCTGTAAATTAAATGAAAACAAATGGCATTAGAAGTGGCTGGTGTTATACCTCTAAAGAAGAAGTTGGCATGAATCTTGGGTTTCAGTCATCAAAAGTATACCTTGACATGAACAAGTAGAAGAGGGCTTCAAGGCCTATTGTAAATGAACGAATGAATGATTGAATGAATGTATGTCATACTTTGCTCTTACTGCAAGAGAGGAACAAAACTTAATGAGTTTATAACAGGCTGGCCATGCTGGAGGTTTCCAAGCAGTTAAATAGGGGCAGTGGAGAAGACAAGCTAATGAACTTCAATGCAGTGGAACCTGATGCTCAGTTCTTGGCTCAGCAGCAAGGGAACCCCTTCCCACTTCATAGGTATTTCTTATGTGAAACCCATTGCCAAATATATTATGTAATGGCATCATTGTGATGTGAGGCTATACTACTGGATTTTCTCAGTACCACTGTCAGGTGGTATGCAAAAACAAAATTTTGAGAGGAATGAGTTAAAATGAATGTTTTAAAATTTGGCACAGAGCTTGTTAGAAGATGTAGCATGAAGAGTAGTCACCTGGTAAAGAGTTTGTATGCAGTTTAACCAAAAACTTACCTCCTCCATTCAAATATGCATCTGGAAAGTAATCAGTCCTTTGGGATAAAATATGCCACAGTAGCTACATTGTCATGTTAGATTTTCCCAAAGTCCTACAGACTTCTTTTTTCCATGTATTATGATAAATCCATTTAACGCTGCAGCTACAGTGAGAAGAAATTTTCTGGTTTGACTATAATATGAAGAGAAATCCAGCAGACATATTTTTGCACTTGTCAGCCCAGTGTTTTTTGTTAAAAACCTCCAAACCCACAAACCTGCAATCTGGAAATTGTGTGACTGTTAATCATGGGCAAGCAGTATGAAAGGAGAGCTCTTTTCCTCCAATCACAACTCCCTGATTTCTCACTTTCTCCACTTTAGTTTATCTGTGGGTAGTTTATCTCTTATTCAGGGGCCAGTAGTTTTAAAGTGGTAGCAACAAACTGAAATTAAATTTTGCACATATGAAAATAAGATACAACTATACATTATCGTACCATTTCTTTCCCTGCACTCTCTTTATGCCCCTTAATTTCTTGGACTTAAAGGGATATGGGTGGCAGCTTATTATACTCATTTGTGCCTCTATATGCTTTTGTGTGTATTAAGCATTAGTATTCTCATTGACTGTACATACATGCCAGATGACCTGTAAGTAACATAATGGTGAGAAAATCTTACAAAATTCCCTCTGTTTACTTACCTTTTACCTCTACCAGTTTAGAACATACAATATTCACTCTTTTCCCCTTCCTTTCCCTTCCCTTCCTCCATCTCTCTTCCCTTCCTTTCTGCCTTATGACCTCTCCACAGCATGAGTCTTTGGCCACTGTCCTTTCAGGTGTTTTCTGAAAGCTCACTTGATCTATAAAACCTGTCACAAACAGTAAAACATGAAAGTCTTATTCTAACTTTTGTTGAAGACAGTCCAACATTCTTCTGAGAATCAAGAAGATTTTATGTTGTGGATGAATTCCACAACAGATATCCTCAGAATTCCAGGTATTCACATTTACAAGGGCCATATACTACCAACAGCATAACATGGGATTAAAACACTTGCAAACTGGGCCCAAAATATTTGTCAATGTTCATTTAGACTCTAAGAAAAGTACATGAGCCTAAATAATCTTACTTATGTAGTATTAATTACTTCCCCTGCTTCCTCTTTTACTCCATTGGCCACAAATGCTTCCTGACAAATTTTAATTCTAGATTGTGCATTTTCACAGATTAGGACTGTCTAGTTGTAAAATGCCCCATGCTTCTACTCAATGGAAAACAATAACTTTTTGGTTTTGCTTCACTAAAATGATATTCTGGTTTTGATATTGTAGATAATACAGCCAGTATCCTGACAAGACGAAGGAGATACAGTCGAACCACTCAAGATACCTATTACCTCCCGGTTTTGATTTCTGATGGTGGAGTGCCCCCTCTCAGCAGCAGCAGTACTCTCACGATTAGGGTTTGTGCCTGTGAGAGAGATGGACGAGTGAGAACTTGCCATGCTGAAGCTTTCCTCTCCTCAGCTGGCTTGAGCACAGGAGCTTTAATCGCAATCCTGCTCTGTGTTGTCATTCTTCTTGGTAAGCCATTTTACAATATTGAGTAAAGCTTTCACTGTCTTTCTGTATGTGACAGGGCAGAAATTTTTAATATGGTATGTTTCTGAACCAGAGGCTGCCTAGTAGTAGGAGGTAATTAGAAACACATAGCTGTGATTTGAGGGGAAAGGTTTAGCTAAAATTAATAGGGAAAAATGCCTTTAAAGTACGTTTATGAATATCTGGAATCCACCAGAAATTATTTTTCAGAGGTTATCAAGTAATTAGCACTGCAGATCTTTTTTCTGTAATTTGGAAAGATTTCAAAAAGCCAGTGACTCTCATTCCATGTCTAGAGCAGTGTGAAAAATGATAGAAGAGAAATGAGGAAAGCTTTTTGAAATGCGTTACACTGTAAGAAGCACCATTAGCACTGTACAAAAGCCATTTCTTAATTACCTTTGTAGGATAAGCTGATAGAAATGCACAACATAATCCACAGGGGCAAGGGACATATGAGACTATAAGATGACTTCATTAGATAAATGCCATTCAAGTGCATTTTCTCTTGACTTTTTTTTTCCCTTCCCCCAGGCCAATTTGAATGTTACCCATTAGTTAGTGTTCTTTTGTTATTGTTGTTTGGTTTGGTTTTTTTGAGAGAGGCACATCTTGCTGGGGACATGTGTCTGTACTACTCATGTGCCTTTTCACATTCTTATAGAGACAGCGAGAAATAATGGGAATTAGAGTGTGACCCACATAGGAGATTTTGAGGATTTTTTTCCAAAGGCTCTACATTTTCTGAAGACTACTTTCCTCACAGCTTACTTCAGAACTTCCTTGTCAGAAGGCTGTTTTAAAATGTATTGTAATTAATTTAGTTTATAATCTTATATTTTGTCATATAAGATTGAATATTCATAAGAGAAAAAATAAGCCTTTTACATTTTAAATGGATATATGTGCTAAATATTGGTTGTAATGAAGCACTGGAAGTCCTTAACAATGCTTCTGAAAAATGTCAGCCCTGGTTACTCATTCAACTGAAAGCATGTTATCCCCTTTTATGAAATCTCTAATAATCCAACCTGTGGATTTCATTATTGGCTCAAGAAACCACAGCAATCCCTACCAAAATAATATGAAGAGTGCTCTTTACTGGCCCTTTGGAAGACCAGGCTGTATTGGAAGTTTGTAGTTTCAGTACAGCATTATTAATTTTCCCTTTAATTGTGTGGTCTCAGCCTGTTGCACTTTGGCATATTGCTATGTCAGAACACAGCTGTATGGATTTCATGGGTGCTTTCCAGGCATACAGTAATCTATCTTCAGGCCACATGTTACACAGCAAAGCCGTTGCTCTCTTAGGTATACAACAATGCTCTTTTCCACATCGGGCAGGCTTGGTGACCTTTTGCTGCAGACACGTGCCTGGTGTAATGATCTCAAATATCCATATTAGCATGAAAATATTACACCTCTGTATTTATGACTTAGTATCTGATATTTCTTTAGTATATATCTGCTTATTTCAGATGTAATTTTTAAACCTACTCTAATATCTGCAGTTTTCTCTTTAGCAATTGTGGTCCTTTTCATCACTCTAAGACGCAGCAAGAAGGAGCCACTGATCATTTCAGAAGAAGACGTCCGGGAAAATGTTGTGACGTATGATGATGAAGGCGGTGGAGAAGAAGACACAGAAGCATTTGACATCACAGCACTGAGGAATCCATCAGCTGCTGAGGAGCTGAAGTACCGGAGAGATGTTCGTCCTGAAGTGAAGCCTGTGCTCAGGCATCATGCCTCCTCAAGCCTTGACAGTATAGATGTTCAAGAGTTCATTAAACAAAGACTGGCAGAGGCTGATCTGGACCCCAGCGTTCCCCCGTATGACTCCCTACAGACATATGCTTATGAGGGTCATAGATCAGAAGCTGGATCTATCAGCTCCCTGGATTCAGCCACAACACACTCTGACCAGGATTATAATTACCTTGGAGACTGGGGACCTGAGTTTAAGAAGCTAGCTGAACTCTATGGGGAAATAGAATCAGAAAGAACAACTTAGTTGTAACTCCCAGAACCAAGAAGTTCCTAAACAACTGGAGATAAAATGACAGCAGCGGTAACAAAAAATGAATACAGTACTTGGAACTGAGCAAGTTGTATGCAGTTACTGTAGAACAAGTGCCCTTTTCATATTTGAAACTGGGTTCTCCAATTGAAAGAAAGTCAAATTTTGAAAAATACAGAAAAAAGAAGCTATTTGTCCCTTGTGTATATTTTTTAATTGCTCAATAAAGTCTGTGGTACTGTATCTGTAACAATACCTAAAGTAAAGCCAAGCAATGACATTTTTATTACAATATGCTTAACATCTCCAAGCTACAGTAAGTTTATGGTCATGCCAGTTTAGGAAGATAGCTGACGGAGGAGCAAATCTCTTGCAGGTGGTTGTGATGTTGCATTTCTAGCTGTGCTCTAGCCTTCTGATCCCAATGTGAGGTAGCCAATGGGGTTTACTATCAGTGTGAGAAGTGCTAAATCTGTTTCCTTTACAGAAGGGATAAACCACACCTGTCCTCTTAAATGGTCCTTTGATGATTTAATCTTACTGAATTGGCAAGTTTCATTGAGATGATACCTTTTCATTATGTCCTTCATAATCTTTTCAACCACAACCAGCTAACAGTGGGAGGACATCATTAGCTGGTAGCTGTAACGTGGCTTTAGTCCATAACCCCAGACCTGCTCTGTTCCTGTGTGCTAGAGGAACTGTTGTTTCCGGTGCTGCACTTTTATTTTCTGTCTTTTCACGGGAACATCATTTATTTCAATGGAATGGGTCCAAAGTAATCTTTACGCAGCAAAGCAGATGAAACATAGGCTCTTTCAGTAAAAACAAACATAGCAGCACCATTAAACTATGCAGTTGTTTGGTTCACTGTCCTTCACTTATGTCAGTAGATTAAGCTTTCCAAGTCTTCTGCTGTTCCCAATTCAGGAGCTACACCAATCAATTTAAAACATAGTTCTTAATCATCATGTCTCTCTATTTCCATGTGTGACTAAAAGCAAGAGAGCTGCTGGTAAGACACTGGGTTAACAAAAATTTAAACAGAGAATAAGATGATGATTTTTTAGTTAAGAAAAAAAATCTGCTGATATTTAATTGTTCTTAATTTTCCTATGGGTTAGATAGATTTCTTATGTTAGTAATCTTCTGGCATCACAGAACTGCTAAACAGTTATTAACACTGCAGGCTGTGTAGCACCTAATCCAGCAGATTCTTATGGTTTTCTTTGTTTTGTTTGAAGCTTTAACTTTTTGTACCTTCAGCTCGATAGAGAAGGGTCTGCATTTATTGTGTACCTATTGTGTTAACAAGATTATTAAGTGTTCCTTTCTTTACTGTATCGTTGGTTAGGCCCTAGATATGACTGAAACTTCTGATCAGTTCTACTTTGAGGATTTTTTTTTTTTAAATGAACTGCTTCCTGAGATGTAGTTGACTGTTTTTGGTTTAAACAGCCTTCTGGAAAAATTAGCAAGTAGGCTTATAAAAAACTTTTCAAACTGTAAGATGTATTAGTTGCACTGTAGTTCCAGAATTGGGTTTTACTAAACTGTTTTGTTAGTCACTTGAAAATTGTAGTGTTCCCCTTTCTGTCAACATCTGAACCCACAAGACAAATTAGAAGGGAAAATACGCTGAACCCTAAAATGTTCTGTAGGTAATTTGAAAGTAGTTTCATAATCTGTGTTCAGATTTTTATTTATTTATTTTTACCAAATACAATGTCTTCTAGAAATGCATTTAAGGAGACATTCTGATTTTAGAAAAAAAGTCAAACAGATGCTTTAATGCAGTAACAGTTACAAACAAACTGAGAATTGTTTATGCATTGTCTTTTTGGGGTCTAGAGTTAGGGTATGTTCCAGTTTTGTCGCAAATGAAGTGACTAGTAGTGCAGGATTTTATGAGGATAAATTTTCTTTGGATTTTAGATCCCACTTGCTTTATGTCAACATCTAAATTTTTACATTGTATTAGTCAAGTCCTGAGAAGAAAAGATTTCATCATTAGTCGTACCATGGGCCATAATTCTTTGTACTGCATCTGCATGAAAACTGCATTCATTGTTATCTTTATGTCCCTCCAAAACAGTGAAAACCAATTGTATTTTGTGCTTTAAGCAGTGTTCCCACCATTGTTTTCTTTTTATTTGCATCATAGAACATTCAGACTTAAAGCCAACACAAGTGCAGTGGCATGAGCAAATAATCACTCCTTATGCTTGTGTTCTGATTAAGTTAATGAAAGAAGGAGGTCATATCTCAGAGAAATAAGAATTTCCTTTTCACCATTCCTGGTAGTCTCTCTGCTGCTGTACAGCACATGCATCATACCCACAGCCCCAGGAATCCTGAATCCTTTAAAACTCTGCAGGGTTATTGAGATGCTGCTTCAGTGATATTGCGGTGTGTCCCGTTCAGTACGTCCTATCCACAGTGATTGCCAAATGTGCATTTCTATCATGACACGTTTGCATGCTTGCTATGCTTACTGTTTTTTACTCAAATACACATCACAGTGCTGTGTTGTTTGCATGACAAATAGCAGAATATTAAATCTTCAGGGCCACAGAAAAAGGCCTCACGGTGCAGAAAGAACAAGTTTACAGATTTCTTTC